TAGATTCGAAATACCATGTCCAGCTTTTACTTTCCAGGGGTATATATCTGAGCTAAGATATCGAAGAATATTCCAGAAGTTCATGAGGCAAATCAAAGGAAAGTGATGAGATGAGTCTATCAAGAGAGAGGATAGTATCGAACAGAAAATAGAAAATGCACTCAGATGACCTGAATATAAGAGAGGGAAAGAGAAAACTATAGCGTGTGTTTTCTAGAAGACAAAGGAGAAAAACAAAAAGACAACATGTATGAATGATAACATGAACCATACTGGTACCAGCTAGACTTCCACAAAAATAAGTTTCTTTAGAAATTTTTATAAGTTATATCAGTTGAATAGTGATCATTTAGTATAGAAAGATAGAGCAAAAGATGCTCTATCTGTTCATAAAAAAAGAAATTTTTTTTGATCAGACTATAAGCAATTAAGATGGGGTGGCCAGTACTTTTGGTATGGCCTAAGTATCTTGCCAATTTCAATTTTTTAAGTACCTCTATTGATATACATAAATGGTATGATACGAAGAAAATAAAATTAATCTAAAGGAATACATAGTAGCAGTTCGTCTTTTGATAATTAACGACTGATCTTCAATATTCTTTCGATTCAATTATTCGCAGCAATTTATATCATAGTAAAACATAAATATAATTTGTAATCAGTATTATTTGCATGTCTGATATGGTAGCTTGCTGATTGAGCATCCATAATGCTAGAATAAGACATGTATCGTGCTTAATAATTTGTTTAACTTTGAAGAAACTCAATTTTTTAAAATAAATCTAATTTGTCTCGAAAGTACCTGCCTCTGAACCTTCACATACAAATGATATCTCTCTGACTATTACTCGGGCAGAAAAAAATCGTTTGATCTATCCTAATTATTAGGGAATAGCTTCAACTAGGTTTTAACCAACTGGAGTTCTTGAGAAAGTGTCTCTACGAGCGAAGCGTAAGAAATACAGCGTAATGCACCGCTAGATATTACAGAATTTATCAAGCAGTTCCGTTTAAAATAATTTAGATTTACGTGAATCAGATATGATTCAGATGAAGTTACTGTGAGTATTTATGTTCGTGAGGTAATCAAAGATAGTAAATTACGCCTCTTCAGATCCTCTAGTTTCTTTCATTCTTTTCTTCTCAAATTATCTCTTTCACTATGAATTTGGATTTATTTCACAATATTTTTCCGTCATTCAATGATGTTATAGTTACATATATCTTGATGTCAAATTCGAAAAAGTAAACGATTTGGTATGAACCACATGTATAAACTCAATAAACAGTATTCATTTCACGTCGTTTTTTTCCTTTTTTTCTTTAATGAGACTTATATAGTCATAAACAACTATAGACAAAATTTGTAGACTACGACATGTGTAGATAGAAAAGCATTATTTATATTTTGGCTTTTTCGTCTTATAAAGTAGGAGATATTGCTTAGATTCACTCCAATAATCAAGATAAAATTTTTATTGAATTCGATGAATTTCATTCTATAGCAGGTTCTGGTATTCCTCGAAGAATCAGATACTGCCAGTATCTCTTGAATTACAATCATTTTAAAACTGCAGCTAGCACTAATCTTACTTTGTCGAAGGAACTTCTATCAACACGCATTTACATAGTACTCTTAATCGGTTCTGCCACTGTACTCATATTATATGGTGGTTTACATTCAAGCATAAAATATGAAACTGTTTTTATTTCTTCTCAAACATCTCATAACAATATCCAACGTTTACATGCGAGTACACTTCAATGTCCTTGTTCAAGTATTTCTATGGAATATCGTACTTTTATTTTTCATCTGAATGCTACTCTTCATCCAATTTGTTCAAGTGGCTTTGTTTCAAATGAATGGATGGACATTTATAATACATTTGCTAGAAACATGTATTATTATTTTAATTCAGATGATTTTCGTGTGTGGGGTACCATGTATTTTACATTGCTACGTTCTTTATGTTTATTGGCTAGAAACAAAATTAATGATTCTGTAGAGAAGTTTCTGTTGAGTTCATTTATATCTGCTGAAGTTATACCTCAAATCCAGTTCCAATCACAAGTTGATAAATTACTCAATTCTTTCAAGCAATCAATGCAGAACCAATTTTCATCTGCCTTGCGTTTGTTTCGGGCAAATACTCAAGGTAACAGTCTATTGTCTGTGCTAGGAACAAATGTAATCTTGAGATATGCCAACAATCCTATTAATAAGTCGCTTGTCTATACACCAAAATTATATAAGAACGACACGTGTTCATGCGCTACATCGAACTCATGTTTCCAACGAGCTGCATTCTACTACAAAAACAAAACATTCATCTATGAATTGGAAAATATTTTCTATGGTTGTTTCATGTTAGATTCAATCCTGTTCTCAACATTGTTATGCGTTTTCTGGAATTCTTGCGTTGCTGACTTTCAGCATTATTATTTGGCTGGTATGAACCAAGAAGACATACTTGGTATTCGATCATTTCCTTCTGTAACGATACCACGCTTACCTGCAAACTCACGTTTTACCGAGAATGATACTATTGAAATGATTATATATAATTCTTTCATTGATCTTTGGTCAAGCGACACTTCGTATGAACGATATTTTAATGCATGTGCTCCCACATATTGCATCTATGCGTACGAAAAGCGATTTGATATCATATATATTTTGACTATAGTTTTAAGTGTTTTCTATGGACTTGCTACAGAACTCCGTTCAATTATTCCACATATAGTAACTTTGGCCTACCTAATATTATCATTCATCAAGAACTAGCGATTTCTTCAATATTCTGTCGAACAAGTTACTTTCTAATACTTAATTATCTTGCAAGACTGACTTTGCTTGAAACATTATATTTTGCTGCTTGCATTGATAATCCTCGATTGTGATAAATACATAAATTCATGTTTGATTTGAACTTGTAATCTTCCATGCATGTTATTGTGTACTCAAAAAGGGAGTACACTCTAGAATCAGTCAATACGTCCGGCCAGCCGTTTGCGCGATAACTTTCGAAAGGAGAGTATAATCGTGATAAAATTTTCTGCACAGCTTTGTCCTATTAATATCTCGGTCGGATTTGCAGATGAGCATGATTTATCGAGCCATTGATAAGTAAGCGAAAAAAGAGTCCTTTATCTCCTTTGGTTTTCTATGCAAATATTAACCGGCGCCGATTTTTGTAAAAAACATTTTCTCCTAATAATTAAACAAAATCCCAACTATTATATATCATTTGATACAGAATTTCACGAGCTAAAAAATGGTATATAAAACATTAAAAAAGAATTTTGAACTCAATTTTTTGGGGTTAAACGAAGGGTTTTTTGAGAAAACAATCATGTTTTATAAAAGTTGGTGAAAGCGAATTGGGGTGCATTAAATACGAAACTATGAAAGATTCCTACTATTATGAGAATAATGTGTAAGGACAATTGTAGGTTATACAAAATACTGTTGTATTTTATAAAAGGAAAAAAACAGCTGAAATGTGAATAACAGCATGTAAATAATTCTCACATCACATTCGCCTATAGAATTGTGCTGACTCCAGAAGTGGTTCTACTAAATCCAGAATTTTGAGCTCTATCGAAGGGTATAACTTTCAGAGGCAGTCATCGATGAAAAAAGAGTGTTCAACTTCAAGTACTAACATGAAAAGAAGCGCTGTTGAAATGACTCATATATGTAAGTATTTCGTGCTCAACACCGCTTCTTTCGTCGCTTTCTCCTTTGAAGTCATACTATTACGTGGAAAATGATTAGTTATTCTCTGTTCTATTTTGATTTATCGAAAGAACTTTCTACATAAATGAAATAATCGACTTTGTACCAGTCATTAGAAATATTTTTCTTTTTTCCTTTAAATAAACAAAGCAATTCAAAGGCATAATACAAATTAGAAAATACATGTAAAAAATTTTTTTTGTATTTTTGGTTGAATAACAGTTATCTAATAAGTTCTGGGTACGACTACACATTTGAGCCATGAATCATTCTATTGATCGTTATCAAACGTTTCAATTGACAAGCCAACAAAATTCTCGATTAATTCAAAAGCAAACATGAAGAAAAACAAAGATGATGATATTTTTTATTTTTCTTTATCAAGAAGTCTGCACAAGAGAAAAAAAAACTGCACGCAAAATATATCATCATATAGGTGTGTAAGATATTTTCATTGCAAATGACAATCTCGAAGCTTGAAGAGTTAACTGCACAAGTTTTGATAAAATTGCATGAAAATGTATACGACACTGAATCGCTTAGTCAATGGAAGAAAGAAGAAGAAGAATACCCCGCCTTTCGGCTACCTTGCGGTATAGGGTGCTGTCCGAGGACAGTTTCGAGAAGCCCGATATTGTCCTACATCTATTACTAAATGTAGCTCTGGACAGAAGGCCAGCCTGACTCAGAGTTCTTCTCGCTTAATTTCTTAAGCTCCCATACATACTGACTAACCACATACTAGTCACAAGGACCATTTAGTGTATGTCAACAACGTAGTCAATTTGTTATCGGATGGGTGGTCCGAGACAAAACAGCCGTTAGTGACTTGTCCAAGGTCATTCTATGACTGATGGATCCGAGGTTTGAACACAGTATCTTGTGGATATGTGTCAAACAACTTAACCATTCAGCCATAGCGGCCAATGGAAGACACAGATGTTCAATTTAATTAGTGAAGTAGGAGAACAGAAATTATCTTCTACAATTGCAACTAATGAATCTAATTCACCACTAGATCCTATCGATTGGCTTTCAGCTCGTTCTATAGCACATCAAAAGCTCAATTCATCTATGAATTATATTAAGTATGTAAGAGATCGTCCTATTTGGCAACCAGTTCCTGATCATATTCGTGAAGTGATCGAGGATGAATCTCTTCCTGAACAAGGTCAATCATTGTCATCTGTTTGTCACAGTGTACTTAATTACGTTGTACCCTATGCAGGAGGTAATATACATCCTCGGTTTTGGGGTTGGGCAAGTGGTGAAGGCACATTAGGTGGTGTAATAGCAGACATGATAAGAGCAACGATAAATATAAATGCTTGTTCTGATACAAATAGTGCTGCATTTGTCGAACGAACTGTTATTGAATGGATGCGCCAAATATTTAGATTTTCAAAAGACAACACTGGTGGTCTATTTGTTAGTGGGTCATCAATTGCTACAATAATTAGTATGGCAGTAGCCCGTCAACGGGCGCTAGCTAATGTTAGAAAAGATGGCCTTATGGATGCGCCACAATTAATTGCTTATGCTTCAACACAAGTGCATATATGTGTAAAAAAGGCGTTAGAATTATTAGGTCTTGGATCGAAATCAATGCATCTTATACCAGTTGATGATTGTTTTAGGATAAAAATTGACGATTTAAAACTTGCAATAAAAAATGATCGAGAGCAAGGTTTTGTTCCCTTTTGTATCATCGGTAATGCAGATAAATATTATGTAGTACATTTTAGGTGAATATGTGTAGAACAATACTTTTTTTATTTTGATTTTAATATATACTAGGTACGGTAAATACAGGTGCTATTGATAATCTTCAAGAACTTTCTTCAATTGCTCGCGATGAAAATATTTAGTTTCATGTTGATGGAGCATTTGGCAGTTTTATTATACTGGATCCTAAACGTCGTTCCCTCGTAACAGGCATTGATCAGGCAGATTCATTGGTATTGGATTTTCATAAATGGTAACATTGTCCATTTGATGCTGGTTGTGTACTTATTGGTGATTATCACTATCTCGAGTCGACTTTTGCTTTCGTTGAACCATACTTGCTGAAACCGGAAGGAAACTCTCGTGATAATAAACATTGGTGTTACAATCTAGATCTTGAAATATCACGTCCTTTTCGTGCATTAAAAGTTTGGTTTACATTGAAAGAACATGGTATTATAAAACTGAGTCAAAAAATAGCCGATCATTGTGATCAAGCTCAATATTTTCTATCATTATTAGAGAAACATGAAAATATTATTCGCATAATTCGTCCTATTTCATTAAATGTTGTTAACTTTCGATTCGAACCTGAAGAGTGTGATAAAAAAGATGATGAAATAATCGATAGGTTCAATAATCAACTTCTTTTAGGCTTGTATGCATCCGGCATTGCACTTCCATCATCAACACGTATTTAAAATCGCGTTTATTTACGTGTTTGTATTATTAGTCATCGAACTATTCGTGAAGATTTTGATTTATTTATAGAAACTCTTTTGAAATTGTATTGAATTCGACTACAATCTTTTTTGACAGAAAGAAACTAGATTTATGAAGTTATTATTTAATCTTATATAATGTTTCTATTGAAAAGTTTTCGTATTTGATTCATCACTAATATCGAAATGAATAAGATAGTCTTGTTATAGAAGCACTATGACTAGGTTGTTCATTTCCATGCATTGAAATATCACTTATCAATGTGTAAATCCTAACAGATCAATGTATTTTCTTATGATTAATAAAACAGTGAATGATTGTGACAGAAAAAACAGAAATAACAACTATTTTGTGTATTACACTTATTGATATTTATCAGCAACTGTTTGTAAGGGAAGAGGACACAAAGAAAACTGAAAACTATGCCTGAATAAAGTTTGTAAATTTCATTAGTAATTACAAAAATAAATCATACATATTGCTCTTCACAGTCGATAGTTATTCTTTTGAATCTTTTTTTGTTTTAAAAGAATTAGTGTTAATTTAATATCGGCCAATCAAAAGTTAAAAGACTTATTGAAAATCTTAAATTCATCTATTAGAATATTCATATGTATAGCATCTGTATCAAGATGAAATACTGGTCGAATATCCAATTTGATGGATATTCATGTGCATATTTCATAATGTTACATCATTGTTTTCAAAAAAAAGATTTTTAGAGGAAAGAATTAAAAATAACAATTTATTTTTTTAGTAGTACATCATTCAGTAATTAAGTTTTGGATAGTGGTGTCACTACGTTGTTTTTTCGTGCAATGAAATATTTTAATGGCAATACTACAGAAATGATGGTTCGAATCCATTGATAAAAATGTGAAAATGTATTTTTGATTTTATCCGTATAATTAGGTAAAGTCAAGACGTTGACAAATGGAAATAAGAACATAACATAATATGAAAAGAATTCTCCAAATATTTCAACTTTGTCACCAAAATGGACCGATACGCAACAGGATTGAAGTAATTCTATAATCATGAATGGGATATAAAGAAAAAAATAAAGTATTGCAATAGCTAATAATTGTATTGTCATTTTTTTATGTTTTCGCCATTGAATGTGCTGATGCATTCGACGTCGTTGTAAGAGAACGCGCACAAGTAGAAGAATACTGAATACTACAATCATTAGAGTAGGTAGTATTTTATTGATAGCAATATCCCATACAAGAATCGGTCGTGAGCTATAGTAACAAAGTGGATATCCACATACCGACATTTCATAGTTGAAGTTGTTTTGACATGGTGGAAATAGAATCGTTATAAAATGAAATAAGATACAATAGAAAGAAAGTACGCCTATGGGGAGATAATGAATTAAAAAACGTTTTCTAGTTGTTGACACCCACCCTTTATGAAAAATAAGAATATGTCGTTGTATAGCAGCTCCACCTACCAATATTAATGAAAGAGAGAAAAGTGTTTCATCGACAAACATCCAAAATAAACACAAGGTCGGTGAAGCTGGCCAAACCATATTCAAATAATAATAACTGAGCGACAATGGAATATCGGTTAATTGATAGATCAAATTATTTAATAGAAGTACGATAATAACATGATTATTAAGCGCATGACGTAGGGTTTTATCGATCAGTAAATGATAAAGAACGAAAATAGAACAAGCTAATGATGGAATTAAAGATAATAGATATACCCAAAATCGAACTGAATAAGGAATTATGGCTTCATATTCTGGAATTGATTTATGTTGTATCATCATTGGAATCTGTGGTGTAGTTCGTCGAAGAGTACTTTACAAGTCAAATATACTGAGAATACCTTGCTGATAGAGCCTAGTGATAAAAAAAAAGAACAAATATCTGAGGTAATATCTTATCGTCCAGCTTTGCAGGATATCACTCTATTCAATGAATGTTTTGTTGATGATAACTATGATTTAATAATATTACAGAAAATACCAAAATTCATTATTAAATGAATACACTAGTTTAGATGACCTGTCTGATTTTTTGTTATAGATCAAGAACTTCCACTAAAATATGTCGTAAAAGATTGACTAGCTAAAAGTCTTTCAGTATGATTGTAGCATAATCAAAATTGAGAACGTAATGAAACTTCTCTATTCTAAAATGCGATTTCTCCATATGCAGATGATAACATCCAACGATAAGTGCTTCTTCATTTTTCTGACATCCTACATGAAAAAGTGAAAGTGGCGTAAGCAAATCGATTCAGAGTGATGGTATAGATGACCTCAAGAAGTCCCAAGAAAGATATTGAAAATTCGAAAACCGTGAAAGACTATTTTATCATCGATATTTTGGGATTCTTTACTAATTACGTTGCATAAAATTCGACGAAGTCAAGGAGATGAGAAGGCAAACACAGGTAAACTCAATTTTTGCCGTTATAAAGTTCAAAAAGAATCACATAACTTGGTAAGATTGATACTGCTATATTTATGTAGATAACAAAGATACAAACCCTATTTTTACGATGATTAAATATACAGACAATTCATAATCGACCACTTCATTTATATACAACGCTACATTTGAACTTAAAGTATATATTGTCATCTCTATTTATATCGATGAGAATTTCGTTACTAAAAAAGAAGATAAAACAGCTCTTAAAAAAATCTAGCTCAAAAATAATCATTTTTTTATGCTTAAAATATATCTGCGTGTTTTAATCTTTTCATGGTTCTTTACCTCTTTTGAAGATTTTCTAAAGAAAAAAATGTCAGGTTTTTTTTTGTTACGAAATAAAAGAACTCTCTGCTCGGTTGAATACTCTAATTGGTGAAAGAAATAAAGAAGCATATTGATTTGATTCATCCATTGGTCGATTCAACTTCTCTCTACTTAGTTTGTTTCTTTTTTTTTCTGCATGAATACTCTTGCCTGTGAAAGAATAATTGCTTTGTAGTGTTTTGTGTTGACTCTGAAATGTCCTCAACGAATAGAAATCTCGACACTTTGCTCCATGTTATAATGAAATATAATCGAACATTCTACATATATCAAAACTGTACTAAATATAACTTATGATGCAGAATATGGAACACTGAAATTCTATTTTCTAGATTATATATATTAATACGAAATGCTATCCAACAATCTATGAATGATCAGTGGTAATTTACTTTTCCTAATCTGTCTCAGAGCACATTTATATATGGTGTAGATGAGACATGAAGATTTCAATATGTTGCTTCATTCATAGAACCTTTCTTTTTTCATGTCTTTACTTGATATAGTATTTCTGATGACAATTTTAAAAAATCATCAGAAAAATAATTTGTGCTTGCTAGATCCCATTAAAAGCTTTGATGATACTTTTTTTACTAATACGTGCTCAGGTAGGCAAAAAGACAAAGAAAACATGCCTTTGTTTTTTTCGATTTTCTCGCATCAAAACTAACATAATTTTTATTGGATGTAAATGTTTTTGCTTCTTAATCGAGGCTATGAAACCATAAATTTTATATTGTTAGATCCGTTCCAAGATACTGCTCCTTTGGTTCCCAAGCAAAACTTGTCTCGGCATGAGTATCTGGATATGCGTCAATATTACGAAATATTTAGTTACAAATATTAAGAGAGAAAATGTTTTATGTTCTCACTAGGTAGCTCAAATATTATGATGCGAAGTGCACATGCATGTTGTTCGTTAGATATGCTCAAGCATAACAACATTGAATTCCAGTGAAACATTGTGCAAACGATAGAATGAAGCAGCTAGAAGATGATCTTTGTAGTTCAGCAAATTTTCATTCTACCGTGTTCTACGTCAGTGATTGTACTATATCTTACTAGAATGCGCATATTTCTTCCTAAAGTTTGTCCTTCACACCATCTTTAGAAAATATTTTAATAATCGATCAAATCTTAGAGAAATATGTGAGAGAAAATTTATGTCTACAGGTAGAAAGAATCGATTGATGAGAATTGTTGTCATATATTATTAATAAAATGTGTAACGTACGTGTAATGCATCTTTCTTTGTATTCAAGATTATTATCTTTAGAAAAATAAAGCGCGTGCACATTTGAATACACATACAGTATAGTCTTTATGGTCATAGACAGAGAAGAAAAATGTAAAACAGAAAAAACTTTATTGTCAATACTTATTTTACTCATGACTTTACAAACGTCTATATTTTTTGTATGTCTGTATCTTGTACAGAAATAGTATATGTAATAAAAGGGCTGAAATGCATGTTATCAACAATTACTATGAGTGCCTCCAAATAGTTTAAAATGTATGATACTTTCATAGATTTCATCGTTTCATGCAAACAAATCATACAACCACCAAGTGCTTGTATGTTCATTTTCAATCAAATTTATCTTCGATCGAATAAGAAATAATTGATTTCAGTTTTTCTTGGTATTATTATTTGAATTGAATTTATCTAGGAAATTCTATCAACAGTTAGTTGAATGTGGATGTAGTTTATTACAATAACTCCTCCCAAGTTGTAGAATTCAATAGTCGAGTCAACATTGATTGAAAATAAATTGAAAAATAAAACTGTAGAAGGCGTGGATATGTGAGAATAAAAATGTGTTTGGGTCTGAACTCAAGTTGTGCTAAGCCTGTTCTCAAAATCACATCGATATTATTATAACCAATGAGATAAAAAGTGCTACGCACAATATTCAATAAATGCGATTGGATGATAAAGTATAGACTATAAAGTTGCAATGCTCTTTGAGCAATAAAGCAAAGATTGAATATTTTGGGTGAAACTGTTAGGAATTTTGTATAATCATTGTCCCATTTCTTTGACAAACGATGAAAATATATGTACAAATAAAATCTAACTGGCACTGAGTTTTTTTTTAAAAAAAAGGTGATTTATCCTTTTTGAATAACACAGTCAGAAAACATATATGATGCTCTAAAAATTTTTGTTCAATTTTTGAATAAATTTTTGTTATTGACAGTTCTCTTTATCATCACATGCATGCCTAGACATTCGAATTCTTGATTGTTATCGAAAATTCAATAATAGTATAGATGTTCAAGATTAGAATAATACCGGCGTTCGATAAAATAGAAGAGAAAGAAAAACAAAGACTGTCAATCAGAATGAGATTTTTAGTAATGAACACGATCTGCATCAGTAATTAAATGTTGAATAAAAATTTGCCATGGTGAACCGTTTAATTCAAGCTGTTTACAGTATATACCATTACGTAGACTAGTTTGTTGATAAAATATGATTGCTTTATTAATCTGTCCAGTCATGTTAGCTGGTAAATGGTTGCAAAGATGGGCCTTTATCATATGAAAAACAAATTAGAATATCAGAAAAAAGAAGAATAGATTTACTTTGATTTGTTCGTTATCACTTAAAATTCGAGATATATTCTGTAGTACAGGTTCCATTTGAAGAATAAGTCAGAAAAGAATGACACCAGTACCAATCAAACGAAGAAGTTCGTTACGTATGTTCAAAGCTAATACAAAAATATTTATATTGTCATCTATCTATATTAATAATAAATCATGTAATGTTACCCAATGAATTAAAACCTTGCTCGCCTAAATAATTTTCAAGATCATTGAAAATACTGATGTCAGTATGAAGCACATCAGCCAAATCTTTATTCAACATAAATGAACCGTCCTATATTCGACATAAGTCGAGAACAAAAACAATTACAACTCACAAACATTCAAGTTTATACTACCTCGGATTGAAGGTGAAAAAGTTCTTCAATCATAACTTGTGTAAAACGAATCTCTTTGAGCTTACCGAGAAGAGAAGTACTAGTAATTCGTTCTAAATTTATGAATGATCATAGTCTATATCGAGAAGAATAATGATTAAAAAATCCTTACCAAAGGAACTGACAAGTTCAACCGACAAGTGATGTTTCATAGTCTCGATTTGACCATCAAGCTAAAATAAATGACACTAGATGAATAATCAAATTATGAGAATGCAACATAATACAGACCATATACAATGGATCATCAGGTTTGTGATCATGAACTAAAACACAAAATGAAACAAAAAGTATCTTCTTTTTTAAATACTGACTAGATTTAGCTGCGAAATTAGGGTCATTTTGAGCATATGTAAGATGTTGTTTAATGTCATCTGTTGATAATTCTGAATAAATTTTATAGAATACTTAACGCTGACATTAAATTAACAAATTATAATCTTACTCATTTGAGCATTGGCATTGAGACTAATTGAAGCTTTAGCATCTGAACGTGATTCTTCGGCATCGACTCGAAGCATACCATTTGCATCAATATCCATACGAATAGATATTTCCAATGTCCTGGCAGAAAAATTAGTTGTTAAGCCATTAAGAACGAATTCACCTAAAAGTGTCTGTAATGAAAGAAGCTATCAATGACGGCATTTTTTTAATCTAAATCAAAGCGTACGTTGTATTTGGTGTGATGATGTTCACCTTCAAATATACGAATAGTGGCTGTCGTTTGATATGCATAAGCATTAGTGAATAGCGGGAATAGTTGAGTTCGTGTTGGAATCTTTGTATTACGACAAATTATTTTTTGCATATGACCATGAATATCTTCAATGCCTATAGTAAGCGAACAAACATTGATGAGGAGTAGATCATCGGTCGATGCTTCCAATTTTAAAGCTTTCGCTATTGTTCTTGAATCAGATATATGCTTTTTTCCTTTAATTCTTTGAAGAGTATCTGTTTCTCTTATTCTAGTCGATGTCGATTCACATTCTGCACGGACACTTTCCAAGTCTTGGATAATATTAACATCAAGGTCGTTCTAAAAGTAAACAAACACATTCAAAATGATTACAAATTCATTTACTTACGCTAGTGATTTTGCGGGATTCTCTTTTTGGAGTGGTAGCTTTTCTAGGTGTCGCACCAGATGATTTATCTTGATTTAAAGAGGAGCCATACAAATCCGAAAATAGTACTAGATTTAGTGTACGGTCTTTAGACCTTTGTGTTTCGATTAAAGCAGAAGCTCTACGACCATCTGTACCAGTGAGCTCCATTACCATTGGAGCATTTCCTATGTTTAGGGTTCATTTATCGAATTAACTGAGAAATATGTGTAATTTAGCTTACTCTCATCCGACTGCTTTTTTAGTATCTGTGATAGTGAAGATTTTGATGATGTTGGTGGTGGTGGAAGATTGGAAGTAGTAGTATTAAAAGCAGCAGTTTCAAATGCTAAATAGTAATACTGAATATGAAATGAATCGAATGCCAATTATAACTTACGAGGCGCATATGCTTGTATCGGTGGAGACTCTGTAGGCGTAGGAGATGTATTTTTTTCATTCACAGTGTTGATTATTGATGAACATAGACTGATAGGCAGTTCTCTTCTCCATGAAACCGATGATGTCGTCTTTGAAATCGTCTCGCTAGATGATTCTTGTGATATTCTAATAAGTCCATCGGGAAGGGTGTGGGTGTGGGTGTGTGGGTGTGGGGTGTGGGT